GTGGCCTCCAACTAAATGAGTTTAGACAGTGTTTCCTAATAAGAAATGTTCCTTTTTCCTTCATACTTAACAAAGCCCCCTGAGTATCCAAAGACCCACACTCCTCACCCCCTGACCAACAGATACTATCAACATTACACAAATGCCCACATGAGACAGAAGTGGGCTACATAGCATGGTCTGTCAACAGGTGCACATTATAGCTCTATGATTTGTTAATTTAGCAAATGTTCACTGAGGTGACTCTGCTCTAGGTGCCAAGAATACAGCAGGAAAAAAGACATAGTCTTCGCTCTTCAGACGATCACGGTTCAGGGGCAGGTATTTTGACATGATAAGGTAAGCACTAAAGATCCACAAAGAGGATTCATGGAGGAGGGTGTGCCTACAGCTTTCTGGAGAGGTCAGGGAAGGCAACATGACCTGAGACACAGTCTCTTCGAATGGCCTCAGTTTCTTCATCTGGAAAATAGAATTAATCATAGTACCTACCTTGCAGTGAAAACATGAAAACGAAATGTCATCATGTATGTAAAGCACTTGATCTAGTGCTCACACATTGTAAAGGCTCAATGTCCGCCACTCAAATTAGTATAAGCAGCATTAATAAATGAGTCCCCAGTTAGAGACGTAAATAGGAATTATTAAGTAAAGAACATTATTTGTCATTCATTTTCTCGAACCAAGAGCTGACTTAAGTGCTAGGGTAGATTAGTTATTAGGTGACAGCCTCCTACTGGTGAACTATGGAATTGCACCCCTACTCTATTAACAAAAAAAGAAAAAAAAAACAAGCTCTCTGGAGCTTATCTACATGAGCTGTGAAGATGAAGCCTGGACACTCAAATCTGGGAGATGAACCCATGTAACAGTGGAGAAAGCAGAGGGAGATGGAGAAAAGCATCCTCAAGTTGAACAGGGCTTTAATAGACAACTATGATACCCAGCACCTCAGAGGACTGATGACTCTCTTGACATCTGTATGTTTTCAAAGAAGTGATTTGAGCATGATGACCATCTCCCTCTTTTCACCCTCCCTCACCACACAGACACACAGACACACACACACACACACACACACACAATCTAATGATGTCAGGTTACCAAATGAGATTCATCTTACTAAAATTCATTTCAGGGCAAGTTTGCCTGGAAAACGGATTCAATGAGCATTCACTGCTATTCTTTTGTCAGGTGAGCACAATGTATTCCAGAAGCTGCAGAAGAAAATCTCCGAGCTCTGGAGTAGGCTGTCCAGTGGAACTTCCTGCAGTGATGGAAATGTGCTATACTTCATTTGTCCAATATGGAGACCACCAGTTATAGGTGGCTAGTAAGCACTTGAAATGTGGCTAGTCTGACTGAGGAAATGAATTTTAAAATTCATTTGATTTAATTTAAAGGTTAGCATCCACGTGTGACTGGTGGCTACCATATTGGACAATCCGGACCCAGGGGCTATGATTACACATACTTTCTTGAGTTTATTCTCATAGTTTTGGCATCTTGTTCTACAAATGGGCTGAGCTCCTCCCCACTTGGCCAGACCATGGGGGTAAAGTGCCCAAGGGTCAGGCTCTTGCCACTTCCTCCCAATTTCCTTCCCCTCCCTTGAGGGGTCCACAAGCAAGACCATCCCAAATACCCAGCCAGAGGTCTTGTTAGCTCCAAGGTTAGGTGATCCCTATGGCTTCAGACAATTCATCAGCTGCCCTGATTTACCCAAAGAATCCAACGCATTCATGATGTTTCATAACAGCTCAGGATGATCCCTTTGCTAAGATAATGTATTTAGGACCAGAGGGGAGGCTGCTGGGCTTGACACTTGTTTTGGGCCATTTTGTGCCTACTGTGCTGAGCAGGCAGTGGCGGCCTCATCACAATGCCCTGCTTCTTCCTTCTAACGGGGTAGGAGACACAGTCCTGACTGGGCCTGTGTAATCTATTCATTTCCTTCCAAGCCGGGCTCTGTAAGCTCATTCACGGAGGATGGAGAAAGGAAGCTGGGACGGGAAGCAAACACACGTACAGAAAACAAACAGCACTGGGCAGCTCCCTGCTTGGAGGAGGGGAGCAGACTGTGGGGAGAGGGAGATGGGGAAGGAAGCCGCAGTGGGGAGTTCATCTGGCAGGCGAGGAAGAGGTCAGAGGAGGGTCTGGCTGGAGAAGGAGACTGAAGCTCCTGTTGCTCCTCTTCCCATTCACTCTGGAAGCCCTGCCCTGACCTTGACTCCTGGAGCCCCCATCTTGGTAGGCTCTTATGTCTTTCCCTTCAGCTGCCTCTTTGGGAAGAGACACAATCACTAGGGAAAGCTAGAGTAGCAGTAGGCAAAAACTGGCCACAGAGTCCTCCCCTGGAATTTCCGTCGGTCCTCTGCCCCCATCCTTCCCATCATAGGCAGGGCACGTGGGCTCCCTGGGACCTGAGGACAGTAACCAGTCAGCTGAGCCACCACCTCCGTCCAGCTACAGAATTACAAGGGCCCAGGCATTTGGCTCCAGTGGGTGATTTGCATGTGATTTGCATACATCTGCATACCCATGCTCCAGAGGCCCTCAGTCAAAGGATGTGAAATGAAATAAAATAAATTAATTAGTGCAGCCTACCATGGCCCGATATGCAGGGCCTGACACTGGTAAGAGATGCCACTGATTCTTAAAACAATCAGTGGCGTCAAGGTTAGGCAGTAAGAGTTGGGGAGAGAGGAGAGTCTCCCTACTAGGGGATGGAGAAGAAAATGGAGAGTCTGTCCAGCCCAGGACACGGATCCTCCTGCCCCAGTCCTGCTCACCATCTTCAAGAGCATCAAGTCAAGCCACGGGGAAACCTGCTTCTGGCTTCTACGCCTGGGCCCAGCCTGGCACTAGCATTGCCCATAACTCCAGCAGGAGTCTCTTCAGGGAGATTTTCACCACTGTGACTATGGTAACATTCGATTTCAAACCGGAGGGAGGGCAGTTGCTTCAAGAGCTTGGAAGGCAATGAGGTGCCCACTGCTATTTTCCCATCTCCAAGCTTCCTTCCATTTCGCTCCATTAACTGTTCCCACTGGGTCTCCATATTTCTATCTGTCTTTCACCACCCCTCCCTCTGATCCCATCTATTGGATGGCTGAGGGAGAGATGTGGTCCCATCGTCAGCAGTGAGCTGGAGTTAATTTATCCCTGTCCTTCTGCCAGGTGCTAATGAGATGCTCGCAGCCTGTGTCAGCCAAGCAGTTCCCATATCCTGTAAATACGCCTCTTAGTGATTCAGTTCATGGCACTATTTAACATATGCCTTGACTTTCTCTAGGCCCACTGATCTATCTAGGATGGTGCCCTTCCCTAAGGCTGGGACCTTTTAGGGTGCTGGATGTCAGGTTCACACTTGTGAGGCCCAGGCTACCTGGAGAGCTTGGGTGGAGGGCACTAGAATTAACTCTAAGCAGGAGAGACTGCAATGCTGAAATAGAGAACCATGATTTTTTATTAGAAGGAGTGCAGATCACAGCCAACAAAATAGCAACAACAAGCAAACCATGAATCAGAGACCAAAAATGCAAAGCAGAGCAGCCAAGACAGGCTGGTTCAAAGCTCACCTAGACCAAGAGCAAGAAGGAGACTGAAGAGAGCTGTTCTGAGTCAAGACCATGAACAGCACGCATGCCCCAGGGATTCCTCTAACACTGAGTTTCCGTGCTCTGTGTGTAGATGTGGTGACAGCTCCAAGGAGCAGAAGAGCCAGCTCTAGATCTCGAATCACAGTTTGGTGCCCACCCCCTACCTTCCTTGCCCTCTCTTCCACGCTCCATCACTCCCTCTAGAACAACTCCACCTGACTGTGCTACCCATCAGTTTCATTTGAAGAAAGGACAACAAAGATTAGGAAAGCATGGCTTCTGATCAGGGGTTTGCAAACTGTAGCCCATGAACCAAGTCACCCTATATTTAGCCTGTTTTGTACAGCCGGCGAGCTGAGAACCATTTTTACCTTTTTTTAAAATCACTGAAAAAAAATAAAAAGAAGAAGAAATTATGACACATGAACCTAATACAAAATTCAGACTTTGGTGCCCATGAGTAAAGTTTCATTGACACACAGCCGTGCCCTTTCATTTACACACTGTCTGTGGCTGTTTGGTGCCAAACCAACAGAGTTGAGTAACTGTGACCAAGACTGAATGTCTGGCAGACAGGAGAATATTTACAATCTCAGTCTTCACCAAAATATGTTGCCAACCCTGTTTAGATGATGGAAGAGGAGTTCTTCCCCGGGATGGTGGTGCTTCTATCTGTGCACACTCGAGCATGGCATTGCAAGAAAAGCATCAGTGCCCACAGGATCTTCTGAGCCCAGCCCCAATTCCTTTGTGGCAAAGGGATAGAAGACTGGGATGCCCCATCCAGACACAAGAAGAGTTCACTCAGTGGTTGAAAAGGTCACCTGTGCTCAAGACTCCAAGCTATTCTTCCTGGTGCCAACCTCTGGACCCTGGGCAGGTGGGTACCTGCTCATCTGTAATCAATTCCCTTCTCAGATGGTGCCAGACACCAGGATTAGTCCTATATGTAGTCAGATTAGGTGGCAGACTATCTCTGTGATTTGATTTTGCAAAAGGCAGGAAGCCTTCCTGTTTTTCTCTCTCCCTTGCCAAAAACATTATCCAAAGCCTCATGCTCAAAATTCCACCATCAGACATCACTCCGTGATTACACTGCGCCCAGGGCCCAGGGTGTTCTCAGTAACTTCTACTTTGCCTAATGGAGTTTCCCGAGAGTAGGGGCATAATAGGAGCACAAAGGAGGTGGAAACCAGATCAATCCTGAGGGTAGAAGGGAGGGCTAGTCCCCGTGGAGGGTGTCAGCAGAGGACAGGGACCCAGCAGAGGCCCAGGACAGCTCAGGACTGGGTCAGGGCTGAGGACATAGCCACGCCAACGAGGGTGTCCAGAGGGCTCTGAGGACCCTCCCAATCAGTCCTGGCTATGGGCATGGAGGGGGCAGTGGTGGTGACTTACCCGGTACCACACGATCTCCCGCATGCGCCCATCTGTCTTGAAGTTACACTTCAAGGTCACGGCATCTCCAGCCACCACAGGCGGGAGAGGCTCAATGTTGACTGTCAGGTAGCCTACAGAAGAGAGGAGAAAGGGATGGTAAGGGCACGAGCTGATCAGGGGGGCTGGGCTGATGAGGGCAGGGCCAGGGAGAGAGCAGACAGAAGAGGGAACCTTGGGGTCTGTAGTTGCACAACTTTGAGGGATGCTGTTCACACTGTGGTCTCTGTGAATGGTGACTGCAGGCCTGAATGGAGCCGATCACCCTCTTCTTCCCTCTCTTTAACATCTCCCGTTCGGCTGCCTCCCTGGCTCCAGTGGATCCCTCCAAACCAAAACCACTTCTGCTTGGGACACATTTTCCCCTGAAGGTAGGACCTGCTGGTACCTCCAAGAAAAGCCTCAATGTATTTCTATAAGACACCCCAGAGAAGGCTTCTGTGCTCCAACATCGCCCCTCCGCCCCTTTTTAGAGTCGTGGCATTCATGATTCATCTCTTCGGTCCTCCAGGAAATGAATGCTGAAATGTATTTACTTGGCATTTCCAAACCTATTTGAATACAGTTCGCTCAGCCACCCTTTAAGCCCCATCACCATCCTACGCAGCCAGGATCTGGGAAACACACACTGGGACATGGTGTTCTAAGTGCCCATACTCCTCCATTTCCAACCTCATAAACAAATGACTCCTGGTAAAAAGAGAGCCCTGGGAAACAACCACTGGCTTCCTTAACACCCACCATTGGCTTTCCCATCACACATACTTTGCCACCCAAAGGGAGGGGAGGGTCTAAGTGTTGGCCATGGCAGTGGTGATATGTTGGAGAAGTCCATTATAGGCCCACCATCTGGGGAAGAGTCTCAACTCACTGCAGACACCAAGTGATGTTTCCCCGACTATCACCAGGGAATGCCTGGAGCAGACGCTGGGACACTTGCCTTGGTAGCCACACCTTGGGGACACTGCTCTCTCCACACCAAAGTCCAGTCTGGTGAGGCCTCTAACCCACTCCTCTGCCTCCACCAGCCCCATCCCAGAGGCCTGGACCCTCACTGCTGCTCCAAGGGGAACCTCATTCCAGGGCTGATCATCCAGGCTCATTTGATCGGCTTCCTGCTGGCTGATGTCCAGTCATCGATCTAATGGATCAATCCAGTCCAATAGTCTTAATGAGAAAACTAGCCAGGATGGGTTTGAAGATTTCAATTGTGCAGGCAAGCTGAGCAGATGGAGCCCACGGGCCTGACCCCTGCCTAGAACTCAATGGTTACAACACTCCAGGAAAAGACAAAACAAAACAAAACAAGAATCGACCTGGAGAGGATCAATTTGGAAGTTGGAGTCAGAGCGGATCTGCATGGTCCGAGGCTTCAGGACCCAGCCTCCTGGGTGAGGGGCAAGGCACAGGGCTCACTCCAGGGTGGCCTCTAACTTAGGCCAGAGGTCAAGCTCCTGGATAGCCCTGGAGCCCACTTGGTCCGAGAAAGTCACGACCAGAGCCAACCGGTCCAACTTCCAAGACCAGAAGGACCAATTGGGATCCTTCTTTCCTCTTTTATTCAACCCCTGTTCACTCCCACCTACCCTGTGCAGGCCCGGGGCCAGGATCCAGGAAGCAGAGACCCAGGCATTGCCTGGCCCTCCAGGAACAAGTGGTAAGGGTGAACCAGAGATGTCCAACACAGTCACCACTCAGGTGACCAGTCAGCCTCTAGGTAGGCAGACGGGGGGCTGTGGGTGGGCACAGAGGGAACCTGATCCAGCCCGGATGATCCCAGCCATGGGGCATGACAAACAAGGAGGCCACCTTCAGGAGGGCAACTTTCCCCTCGGAAAGGGAGACCTCAGGGCAAGCCAAGCCCATGTGTAGCATTGTGACAATGGCTCAGATGTCCACACCTGCTTCATTCCAGGCACTGGGCTAAGCACTTGATTTGATATACATCTACTCTCTTAATCACCACGACACTCCTAGGAGGGAGGAACTATTATGATTCCCACTTTCTGCAAGCAAACCAAGAGGTGAAGTCCCCTGCCAGATCACACAGCTGCAAGTTACAGAGCTGGAATTCAAACCCAAACCTTCGGGCTCCATGTCAACCACCACGCTATTACAGCCTCTCGGAAGAGGTGAGAGAAAGTGGCAAACACTGTACATCTGCAGCCTGCATACTTTTTTCTTCCAGCCCTAAAGATGGAGGATGGACATTGTGGCAGGAACTGTGATAAGAGTTGAGGATCTCACCCCATGGCCACAATTCTGAGCCACGTGGCTCAATCTTCCAGTGAGACCTCCCTGCCCTGGGCTCTCTCTCACCTTTTCTGATATAGTTATGAGTTGAGCATCATCAGTCCAGATGGCTGATGAGACCAAGGCTCAAGAAGGTCCTCCTCCTACTGGAAAGAGGAGGGAAGGACATATTCTCAGATGCATAAATCTTTGAGCAGCCTGAGGTGGGTGCAGATGGTGTGTGCCTGTGAGGCAGGCAGGGTGAGATGGAGGGTCACCCTTTGTTGGCAAGCCATGAGGGAATTACAAGTGTAAGTGTGGCAGTGGTGGGGAGGGCAAGTAGGGGAGCGGTTGCAGCTCTGGTGATTGTGTGGTAGTGTTAGGAGCCCTGGCAGGTGCAGCAGATGTCTGGGGCAGTAGGATTCACAGGGGCATGCCAGGGTGAGATCAGAGGCACGGGCACTCAGTCTTAGAGGTGAATCAGGTGTGTGCAGGAGTGGGGTGGCTCTGACAGGTTAAGACAAGACAGCTTTTCCCAGAATGTGCAGAGAATAGGGAGTTTCTCACCAGTGTTTCTCTCTCTCTCTCTCTCTGTGTGTGTGTGTGTGTGTGTGTGTGTGTGAGATACAGAGTCTCACTCTGTCATGCAGACTGGAGTTAAGTGGTGTGATCTCGGCTCACTGCAGCCTCCACTTACTGGGTTTAGGCAATTCTCCTGCCTCAGCCTCCTGAGTAGCTGGGATTACAGGTGCTTGCCACCATACCCAGCTAATTTTTGTATTTTTAGTAGAGATGGGGTTTCACCATGTTGGCCAGGGTGATCTCAAACTCCTGACATCAAGTGATCCACCCGTCTCAGCCTCCCGAAGTGTTAGAATTACAGGCATGAGCCACCATGTCTGGCAGGAAAACATGATTTCCATCATCCATGAATTTTGAGAGGCATTGGGTTAACTATAATTAAACCCCTTCTTCCCTTCAGGACTTCTCTGAACTTTCTCTCCTTCCTTTTTCCTGTCTTTCCTTTATGCATGAAAAATATATTAATTGAGAATCTGTTCCATACCAGGCACTGTTGTAGGCACTGGGGACATATCAGTAACAATAGACACGTCCCTTCCCTCATGGAGCTGCCAGTTTAGCAGCAAATAAATGATGGAAAATATGTTCAGTGGTGATAAACATAATGAGGAAAAACAAAGCAGAGTGAAGTGATGGAGGGTAATGGGGGAGGGGCTTCTTTAGCCAGAGGGGCCCTGGGAGGCCCTTCTGAGGAGGCTGGAATAAAGGAAGGTGTGAGCCATGGGGGTATTGAGGAGAGAGCATTCCAGACAGAAGATATGTCAAGCACAAAGGCCCTGAAGCTGGATTGTGTGCTCACAGTGCCTTGTAACCCTCCAAGTTTGGGCCAGAGTGGGAAATTTTTCTTAATATTTTACACCCTGGAACCCATCTTTTTCAGAGCATCTTGTAGAACCTGAGCCAGGAATGGGAGGGAAGAGAGTGAGGCAAGCAAGGGGCCTGCAGTGCAAAATTAAAGGACACACTCTCATTGCACCATCCTGAGAGTGAGTGGGTGGCCCTTTGAATGTTACCCCCTGTGCACCTGGCTAGCCTCACCCTAGTCTCAGCCCTGCTGGTGTCCTTGAAAACAAACATCGGGAAACACCGCTGTAAACCGAGGCAGGAGTGACTGTGCCTTCCATTCCAGGGATGCCCCTACTTGGAGTCATGGTAGCAGCTGGTGGGGAAAAATGCTCATAGCTGGGCACTCCCCTTCTCAGACTCGCAGGAAGCTGAGGGAGTGGGATTTCCAGGCTGCAGAGACAGGTTTCGCTCTAAGGATTAAAATCGTGTCACTTCTAGTTTTCCCAGCACTTTCACTCCCATTTTTTTCAGCAGCTCAGGCAGCAGCCAGTGCCTTGTACGATGCTGCGACCACGAGTATGTCACACTGGAGTGCAATTGTCTGTTTGCACATCTGCCTCTCCTTCTGGAATGTGAATTCCATTAATATCAGTAGAGTATTAAAATATGAATACAGTAAGTGATGCGTTTTGAGCGTTCATGGGTACAGGCAGTTTGGATCCTCATACCCTCCTGTAAATATGCCTCTGTCACAGACAGGAATGAGCTACTGTTCAGAGCTGTGGAGTACCTCGTTCCATGCCACATGGACAGAGCAGCCAAGCTGAGATCTGAACCCAGAGCCATCTGGCTCCAAAGCCAGTTTCTTTCTACCACTTCTCGCTACTGCCTGGAGCAGAATCACACTACTTGATTGGGTCTCTTGGGAATTCTGCGAGGTATCCCCCAATTTGCAGCTCCATCGGTTGCCACTGAGTCTCCACCAGCTGCCTGGCTCTCAGACAGGGCAGGGAAGTCAGTGCAGGAGCTGGGCCAGGTGAGTGGGGAAAGGACTGACCCAGAATTACGCACTGAATGATAGGAACCATAAACAGAGAGACCTGGGGTTGGGTCCAGGCTCACGTGACAGATGGTGGGCAGAGGGGAGACCCTACTGCCTCAGGGCTTGAGGTCACAACCTGACAATGAGCTGTGGCCTGCTCATTATCCAAGGCCATGACAAACATCAGGTGATGCGTGGAGTCTAAGTCTCAGGTCTGGAGGTAGGCTCTCTGGCTGGGGTGAGGAGGGAGAAGGCGGAAAGCAAGGTGATTTTCCAACAGATGTGCCAGGCAAGGCTATGACAGCACTAATCAACACCTGGATCACAGGTGAGAAAACAACTCTGAGACACAGACACACACAGGAGAGGAGATGGTAAGGGTTCATAGAGCAAGGGAACTGTTTCCAAGAGAAAAACACAGGAAAAGTTCTC